ACTTGTTGCAGCTTAATTGGACATGTTGGACATCCGACTTTTTGATAAAGAATTGTTTTGAATGATGAATCGCTTTATCTCTTACACGCCAGCGACATCCTTGTTCCATAATTAAGGTTTAAATCATCCGGGAAAATTTTTCTTAGTGCACAGTATTTTCATTGTTAATTTCTTCATTTTGTTGTCTTGGAGCTTTTTCTTTTATATATCAGTGGACTCAAATTGTGTATCGAATCTTTCGACATCACACCTGCGTGATTTTGTGGGATGCTCTCAGAAAAGAAGTTGTTCACATTTTTTTTTTTTTTGGTCAGGACAAGTGTTACCGGACAGCCAGGGTTTTGGTAAAAGAAAAAATACTAAGGCGGACATTTTGGTTCGCCAAAAAGATTTTTGTTTTAAAGAGGAGACATCTGATAGTTTTAACTGTTAAATTGTTAAACATAGTTATTAGTTTCATCTTGGGCAATAGAAAACAAGATTATCACAAGTAAGATTAACCAAGATTATCAAAACAGTTTATATATCTGTATAAGGCTGAGATTGGCGGCAATCTTGGAAATGTCTCTAGTTTTTTCGAGTTGGTATTTTCGTGCACAAAGGTGACATAATTATGGGAGTACAAAAGCAAATGTTTATCACCTACTGAACGATTTCTCCAAACAATATCTGCACTAGCCGCCAGATGCAACGCTTAACCATCCCCATATTCATATGGTATCAACCGGCTTTCTTGAATGTCAGATTCGGTCAGAATTCATATTTTCCCAAAATTATTCTTGATTGATGAAACTGTGTGTCGGAGAGATGTTGAGTTTTACTCAGCGTTGTCCAAGACCTTGGGAGACAAAAAAAAACCACTGTAGCTCGCTCAGTTGGAACTCCAACCAACAACCTAATGCATACGTTAAACTGATCACCGCTTGCAGCGCTATACGGCCACCAGGCTGGTATGGTCGGTTCGAACCTGATGGTGTAGAAACGGATATTGCGATCAGTATCTAGCATGATAGGTCTTTGGGTTTGGGAGATTTAAATCATTATGTGCATAACGGAATGTACGTATATGAATCATGGCAGGTTTTGAGAAAGAGATGAGCATGCAATCACGTCCCTGTGTCGGTGGATAGAGGGTTGCAGACCAGTAAATAAGCTGCCATAGACCCAAATGACAAATGAGCCCACTTCAGAAATTCAGGAAAAGTACTCTCAACTCTCCAAGGTGTTCGAGCCTCACATCAACTTACAGCTTAGTTCATCATCTTTCATTTTCTGTGTATTTTTTTTGGGGGGGGGGGTAATCTAATGACTTAGGGGAGAAAATCCAATCAAAGATGATCACCCCTAAAAATAGTCCTGAAGCCCTTCGCCATTTTGACACATGATGCATACGCTCCATTGCAAAATAAAGCATGCCCCAAGTCCTGTGCACGGTTTCCACCCTTCCATTTTACTAACCCTCAAGTTCAAGGCCCACAATATGCTCTAATAGCAAAGAATTTGAGGGCATGTAAATCGTGATTTGGCCGGCGTGCCACTTTTGGGCCCATTAATAAGAGGCATGCTCTCAGAGCGGTCGGGACGAGCGAAGAGCCTTGTTGTAACTCCCTTTCTACATCACAGTCTAGCTAGACTATGAAAATACCGCCCTCACTGTACCCTAATATCGATAGCCAGAAAGATAGCCAGAAAGTCGCATACCGCATGACTGTACCTCCTACTATTTGAGTGTTATAGCGCCCTCATTTTCCCTCGAGTCTTTGATCTCATTCTGGCCAACGGTCTGAGTCACGTTTGAGTGAGAAGACTCCTTAGTGTTTTATTACACTAATTATTGAGAAGTGCCCTCTGTGAATGAAGGTGATGAACAGACCGAGTGGATTTGTATATTTTGCACCGCCGAAGGAATCACACTTATCCCCGTTGTTTGTCTCTACAAATAATTCCCACTTGTTTTTGTGGTCGCGCATGCGCTCGCGCCCAAAAAATCCACCACACGAGACGCACAAAACATAATTGCCACTTCGTACTGACACTAATTATTGGTCTGATTTGTAGACAAATGCAAACTGTTTCTAAGAATGTAATAAGTTGTAATTAACACGATACCGCAGGTCCTCATCCGTACTCTTTTTCTTTCTTCTTCTTTTTATTGTAAACTCATAGGATAAGCCGTGCGGTAATATTTACTGTTAGAATGTTTTGTATGCATGCTTTGTTTGTTCGTATCGCTTGGATTTCTTAGGAAACCAAACAGTGCCAAAGATCAAAGGGAAGAACAAAACAGATTTAGGAATACAGTGAAAAGGGGTCATATGACAACATTATGAGACTCGAGGTAATACACACAAATGATAAAACCCTTTTTGTTCAGTGAAAAGTATTCAAAGATGTAAAACTCAGAGGCTCAAAGAAATACCATGATGTAAGTAGACACATCCACATGTGTTGATTTAATTGTGAAAAATAGTGCCATTGCTTCAGAGAAAATGATAGTTACAATACTTCACTTATGATTTCTTTTAATTTAATGAAGTGGTCATGTGCGCATGTTTCGTGATGCTGTGGATGGCAGTTTTGTGGCAGCTATTTATTTGCTCTTGCTATACATTGACAACATTGCTTCAATTACAGCTGTCCATAGAACTTTTACACTTTAAACAGTGCTTTTACACACCTAGTTAAAAGACGTCCAATGGCACCAAACGCATCACATCATATCATATCAACTGTGTTTCCTTACTATTTCTCACTATGAGTAGGTTTCCTTTCTTTTAACTATTCAGTAATTTTTGTACAACAATATTATACCCTCGTAAATATCTATGCAATCACATACATTAATAATAAAACAAAATCTAAAAGATAAAGCACACTTTAACAACACTAAACTGCACTGCAAATCTTAGCATTATGCTTAAATCAACCAAATACATATTTGAAGATAACAACGAATCCAAAGCCACTTTATTGACAATTTTAAAGCACAGACATTAAACCTCACATGGGAATAGTGTCACCAATAATCCTCGATTTGCGAAATTTAATGAAAGGTTTAAAGTTGCGTCTTAATACGCTGTGACATCAAGAAGGCAACTTATTTCATTCCTTAGAGCAAACGAAAAAGCTCCATATCCACCTCACAGAGAGTGGAAAAGAAAGGGTTCAAGAAAAAAACAGAATATAAATTCAGAAAAAAAACAGGTCAAAGATATGGTAATCCTTCTTTGAATAGTTTTCCAGGTATGTTTGTAATATTCTTGAATGAGATTATACCCTTCTCTGACAACCCGTGGGTTATGCCGTGATTTTGTTGAGTTACAATATATTTCATCTCTTGCTTGACTTTAAACAGGCTTAAAATTGAATATCTTAATGAAAGGCCTGTCGTCGTCAGTCATTCATGGGCAAAGAGCCAAGCATTTGGGTGTTATCCTAGTCATAAACATGGTGATTGATTCAATTCAATTGACAAACTTGCCATAACCATCCCTCTGCAAGATGGAAGCACTCTCTCGCAGTGGAATTTTCTGATGTTTTGGTTTATTTATGGTTTATTATTTGCTCAAAAGTATATTCAATTCATTCATTCTCCTGTGCGCCTGCAGTGTCATTTGTTGACTCCCGTAGTATCAGGGGTTTTTTTGCAGCACCCAATTTGTGTTAAAGATTGTGGCAAGTTGTGTACACTGAATATTTGCTATCAAACTTGGATAGACATACTTTTGGGAAAGGTCGAGATAATCACCAGCCCCCAGGTACCAGGTCAGGATTGCTTAAGCTCGTCCGTCAGCCAATAGAAAAAGTTCCAAATTTGTAACTTTCCTTCTCGTTACTGTCTTGACGAACCTTTTTCTTTGCCCCCCCCCCGCTAACGGAGCCACTGCGTATAAATTGCCCCCTCCCGCTTTTGTCATTTTTCAAGGCACAAGCTGGTATGATTGTGTAGCGTCGTGAGCAAATGCCCTTCCCCAGTTGAGTTACTGCATATGGACCAATATCAAGATGATGCTTCTTCATTTTTAGTTAAAGTTAAATATCAGAACTCTTCTAATATCTTTACACGATGTTTAGTTAATGTCCATGATGCAGACATAGCTCAATTGTCCCTTTGACATGTAGTCTACGGGAGATTGCAGTTATCTCCGAATACGTGAATTACATCTTTAAGCCACTTAGGATCTATATCTTGGTGTTTAAACATATATTTTCAGGGTCATGGAACGCAACTAAACAATTTGAATTAGCACTAAATGTATTTAGGATCGTGTCAAATTGTCAGTTTGTCCAGATACTTAATACGGAGGCCATATGGTTTGCCGAAAAAGGACCAACACTGGCCCGATTCAGGCTATGTACCTTTTTGCCGTTATGGTTTGACTTGAAAGGGCCGGCACCCGTCCCATTCAGGTTGTGTACCGTCTTGCCATTATGGTTTTCCAAAAAGGGACCGACACTGGCCCGATTCAGGTCTTTTACCGTCTTTTTTTATCATGGTTTATCGTAAGAGGACCTGCAATGGCACGGTTCAGGCTGTGCGCCGTCTTGCTGTTATTGTTTGCCTTAAAAATACCAGCACTAGTCCGATGCAGGTTCTGAACGGTCTTACCATTACCGTTTGCCACTTAAAAGGGCGAGCACTGGACCAATTTCGACTCAGTGGTGTCTGTACCGTTAACACGGAACCGTTTTGGCGCAATCGAGCCAGCATAGCCCGCTTCTGGTCTTGTAAATTAACCCATGATTAGCTGGTATCGGCCCAATACCGTCCTGTTTACTGGATCAATGCCATCTTTGAACCTAGGCAGGTAGAAATCTCTGGCACTCCACGATGTGATACAATTCTGCCTCTCTACAACTACATGCAGCTAACCACTTTTGTAGCTCCATTTGATTAAGACGGGTCTGTGATCGGCTAGTCCTGGTTCTCAAGCGGCTATTTTCCATTGAACTCATGTCGATGTAGCACTTTTTTGGGAGGTTTCCGCCATTGTTATAGTCTAACCATGACAATCGGTAGGCGTTTGCTCCCAGTCGTTGCTTCCAGTGTTGCTTCCAGTCGTTGCTTCCAGAGTCGTGCCACTTCCCTGGATGTTGTGAAGGAGTGGACATGGCTGAAGAAGTTTTTCTTGACTTCAGCCTTTTGTGCCGAAACTTGCCGTCCCTGGAAGAGGCGATACTCATCATTTATAAATATTTGTACATCTTAGCTCGGCTGGCAACTTCCCTTCGGCAATCCGAAGCGGAAATGCCAGCAATGGGGTGCAAATTACTTGTGTTGGTGGGATTCAAGCATCCAGTGATCAAACTGCATGTTGTTTAAGGCTGGGTCAGGTTTCATAGTATGGGCTGATCTGTCCCAGACGGGGCACGCATACTCTGCTGAAAAATTGCGCCGTGCCAAAACAGTTCATCTAAGGGTGTGTGGTTTGGCTCTCCTTTCGGACGGAGGTTGTTTAATTTCTTTATGATGTTGTTACGGGTAACTAAATTCGGATGACTTGAATGACAGGATGCGATGGAGGGTCACTCTAAGGTAGACAGGATGGCTACAAGGGGCCAATGGTGTTCCGGACCAGTTGATGTTAAGGGGTCGGTTGGCTTCGCGGTTACCGTTCCTGAGATGGAACGAGCAGACTTGGGTCTAAGCGAGATTGGCACGGAGGTGATTGCGCTCATAGTATAGCGGCTAAGTGCTGAGGTAAGTTTTGCTTCTGTAGCTTCGCACGGAATCTTTTCAGATGTAACACAAAGATCGTCTGCGTAGATGAAACGCTCAATGTCCTGGTCTAAATTAAATTGTGATTTGTTTTGTGTAGACGTTATACAGCAACGGACCTAGCACAGTGCCTTGAGGTGGGCCGTTTTCTTGCCGTCGACAGCGTTTTTGTTTTGTTCTGAACAACAAAGAAGCATCAGTCTTTGAGAAGGGCTCCGATATGATCCGTAAATGCGAGGTATATTGGGTCAACTTCAAGATCATTTTCAGGAGGCGGCAGTGGTTTACAGTATTACATGTGACCGAAAGATCCACAAAAATAGCTCAACTTCCAAACTCAATCTCAGCTTGCTGTGCCAGATTAAGAGTTGGCTTGTTGTTGACTTGCAATGTCGCAATCCAGGTTTCCGGGGGGGGGGGGGTAAGGGATGTTTCAGCAACGGGGACAAGCCTGTTTAGGATCAGGCACTCGAACATGAACAAAACAGCAATGGGTTCCTGTCTGGACCATGTTACCTGTGGCCTCCAAAGCCTGCAGTGAACTAGTTAATGTGGCTTCAAGAATCAAAGTGTATGCGGTGCAAGACGTGCATGAAGCACGTTGCTGAGTGCAATAAACTCTGCGCTTGACATTGTGAGAATAAGGGGGAGCACTTTTAAACTTAAAACTTGTGTGAGTGATGACATTTATTCTCACATAATGTTGTTTTACTTATACTTCATACAGGATTTTCGGTGACTGCAGTATCAATCATCGGTATTCTGTTAGAGATTTTATTTTTGGTTTGACTATTTATGTTTATAACTAAAATCATCTTGGTCTCTTCTGAAAAGAAGAGGTTTTTTTTCTGACCCTGAAAATGTATGTTTTGCCACCTAGACAGTGATTTTTATGGGGTAGTAAAATGAGATATCAGTAACTGCAATTGTTATCTTCCGGCCATCTTTAAACTCGAAGTTTATAGTGTACAAACTGAACATTTGACACTGTCATAAATGGTATAGTTGCATTCCTTGACCCTGCAAATGTATATTTGGACGCCCAAATGTTAATCCCAAGTGGCTTAGAAGAACAGATATAGGTAAATTTAAGTTTTCAATGACGGCCATCTTTAAAATCCAAGATGGCCACCGTAATGTATCTGGACAAATAAATCCTTGAGCACTATCCCAAATGGTACAGTTGCATTCCTTGACCCTGAAAATGTGTGTTTAGACACCAAAACTTTATTCCGTAGTGACTTAGAAGATAAGATATGGATAAAAATAGGTTTTCAATGGCAGCTATCTTTAAAATCCAAGATGACCGCCATATTGTTATTGGATAAGTTGGTTCCCATCAAAAATTGAAAGCTGAGGCAATAAGAAGCATGTATGGACAATTTGGCGCTTCTGTCCGGAATGTCCACATCCATTCCAAAAGCTTGTCTAAGCTGCCTGACTATTTGGAGTATCGGGTGAATAGTGGTTGGTAAGTGAACAATACAGTGTTTGGCCTCTGAACATGTTTACAAAGTGAGTTATTTTTGTTCCAACCAAGTAACACAAACGACAAATTACATGTGTCAGTTTTGTTTTCTGAATACCGTACGATATACTACCGTATACCAACAACACAATTACTATATATCAGACTTGTAACACTACTTCCATTTCATACAATGCCACGTTAAACTTTCTTATCAACCATTTACAACTATCTCAGTCATCAAAAGCACATGTTAGACTATCACGTCGATACGAAATAGACTCCTAATTTACAGATTATTTACAGTACAACAGGTTATACGCCTAAAGAAAAGATTATCCATATAACACTACTATATGTTAAACTTTTCTATTTTCTATTTGAATGATGACACTTCATATTATTTTTTTACCAACAAACCATGTTTGCTAATTCATAATGCAATCACGCTGAATTATACATTGCATATCCATAAATCAACGGATTGGAAGGCATAACGCTGGTTAGAACACAGCGTTATTTGTGTCTGAAATTCCTATTCAGTTATTTTTTTCCCTTTAATTGATCATCTGAATACTTACTCAATGGGTAATCAATAGTGAATTTAGCCGATGTATAACTGCATATACGTACCTGTGGAACAACTACGGGGGACGGGGGAGGCACATGAGGGGGCATATTGCCCCCCCCCCCTTACGTGTGCACCCATTTAAAATCTTAAATTTGAAGAAGAAAAAAATCGACATTGTTAACATGATATATTTCCTTCGCCTTAAGTGCCTCTTGAAACTTCGATGCATCTTCAGGTGCCCCAAGAAGTTTAACCCTGTAATTACAACTCTGACGGTGACATTGTGATGTGTTTTATTTGCAATTTTGCAGTGTTTATTTTGTTTTATTCTATGCGAGAATTAACTGATTCCATACATTACTATGTGTTTCGCTATTACCTGATTTAACTGAATCCACCAGGAGATGTTGGCTCTTATATGATTCCAGAGTTTTCACTCTCTTTTCCCAACCAGTCTTGGCCTCGTCCCGCTCACTTTTAATCGACAAATCAATATATGCAGTGAAGCCAATCGGGTGTGGCTTGAGAGCAATCTCTTCAAGGCTTTGTAAAACTTTGTGAATTTCTAGAAACAGACAGACTTCAGCCTGCTTCACGTTTTCGAGATCGGATTGGATTTTTCCTATCAGTTCTTGGACTGTAAGTGTTTTGTCGACTGCATCTCTATATCGCCTTTCGATGTCAGTGAACGTTTTCATCCGTTTCTTTTCTGTATACACATGTCTGCACTTCATGATAACGTGAGCACTCCAAACACATTTATTTGGACATACCATGCAATAGCCTTTTCGATCCATCATGTGACATTTTTTTTTCTTTTTATCTGGCTTTGTGCATGGGTAATGGCAAGTGAATTGGCATATGTCACAATTCAAGGACCCTACATCTGTAGGGATCTTCTCATTTTCAATAACTTCAATTTCGCACTGAAAACCCTCGTGAACTTTTATATCTCTCTGACAATGTTTAAGGGCTTCCTGCTCTTTTTGTAGCTCCTCCATTTTATCTCTATAGATGGCTGACTGTGACTGTAACCTTTCGACCTTTTGCTCCAACTGTTTACGATGCTCCAGGACTTCTTTGGACAGGGTCAGACTTTTTGCCTCCAATTTACTAACAGTCTCAAAGAACCTTTGCATTTCTTTCATTCCCTTTTTCCAATAGAGTTTTAAAGCTTTTTCTTCCTCAGCTTCATCGCTGTCGCTTTCAGCTTTACACTCTTTGTTTTCGGTAAACAATGCCGAGTTATTGAACTTGAATACGCATCCGCTGAATGGGATATTAGCCGCCATAATGGCATCGAGAACAGGCAGTGTAATTCCGTCCAAGAAGTTGGCCAGAAGTATAATGTTAGGCTTGATATCCTTGCTAAATATGCCCAGGGTTGACTCAAAGATATACCTCTGTGTGGGAGTGAGACGAGCTTCTGAAGCCTTAACAACGAAACCAACAGCATTAATGTGATCCACACCATGGGCTTCAGGGTGAGAGAAAAACTCCCGGATCTGTTCAACAATAGCTTTATCGCGCTCAATACCTCTACTATCTCCAAACCCTGGCGTGTCGATGATTGTCAACGTGAAGGGAATTGTGTGCTGTTTGTTACTGTGTATGGTGTATGCTGATATCATTTGTGTCTGACTATGTGCCTGTGTCTTCCCCATAGGCAAATGTTCATCTACCAGCTTGAATCTGAAATTATCTTCCCACTTCACCCCTAGGATGTAATTGATCATCCTATTGATTAGGGTACTCTTACCGGCGCCTGTAGCACCAACTAACATTATAACTGTGTGAGTCTTGGACTCCAAACATTTATCACCAAAGCTATAACTACAATACATTCCATTACTACAAGTTTCCCCCTCCTCCAAATTAACCAAGTATACGTCTGGATGTCCTACATCTGTTCGTCCCTTTGGAGATTGTTTAGTAAGCTCATTTGCATAGCTGGCTACTCTTGCTGGGCTGTTGCAGCTAGCGCTGGCGGCAGTCATAGCGGAGATTCTAAGGCCAGACCTAACCTAAAAGGAACAAATAACGTACACGTGCTTTAAAGCATTGTCAAGTTGGAAAGTTGCTGGACACAAAGGAGCAGGTCTGACTTAAATGGGTTTTTTTTTCATACAAATAGCCCATATTAGAAATAATGTGACCCCCCCCCCCACTCTGACAGCCAAAAATGTTATGACAACCAATAATGTTCACCTGTGCATAACATTCGGACTGAGCCAGCTGTGGTACGGGGGTATTTGTACACCACTCTGTAATAGTGTTCATGATCGTCTGATTTTGAACAGTGCTCCTAATTGAAAAAGGGTACGAGCTTACCCCCCTCCCGCCCCGGGCCAGCCTAGGCTTTGCACTTGACTCACTGACTCACTGGCTGTCACTGTGAATTAGACTTACTTGAGTCCAATCCCTTGGCCGAAGATTTGAAATAGGATTACCTGGTTGTCACGGTTATGCCTTTGTAAGGGTATAAATCGTAGTTTCAGAAATAACTTCAGTGGAAATCTTTTGGAACATCCACAAACCAAAAACAACCATAAGACCGGTAATTACAGAACAGTTTCATATAAAGTCTTTGTCAGCGTTAATGACATTGCTAAAGAAAAATGTTACATAAATATGTACCATGTCAAAAATAGTACGTAATGTTTTTGCGGGGTCGATATGTAAGCCTTGAGAAGAACTCTGTATGAATCATCTTTTTTATCGGAACGGAAAACCAAGATCTGGTTCCTTGCAGCTGTCAATGAACAACAAATACTTTAATTTCTGATGTATTATGTCAATTCTCAGACAAATACAATCTCGGAAGTTTTGACTTTATTTTGTTGGTAGATGCACAGCCTCAATCTTGATGTTTTGTAACTCGAAAAAAAAAACTCAAGTACTTCGTAGGTGTTTCCTATTATCTGAACATGAACTTTTACAGCAACCAGTTTCTATTGGTGCTTAAAGTGCTCTTTCAGTGCCGTGTAATTTTTATAGTCTACCTTTGCGCAGTAAGGGTATATTATATGCGAGCAGATTAGGCGATTAGACTGAGTATGACCTCTAGAAACAGACCAACCAGCGGACGCCCTCTATACGCGCGTAATGCGAACACCCAGCGCTTGTTAACATCACGCCCACGATGAGTAGTATTTCGCCAACAGTTTTAAAAGTCATTGTCGTGTTGGAAAAATGAAAAGTTGAAAATAAGATAACAGTAGTTTCTTGCAAACATTATTTATTGAGTAATGAGTAACTATAGCCTCATTCCAGATTTTCTTCTGGATGAAAGAGAATACTTTAATGGGCATTGTTATAGATCGTGCTAAAGGTACCTAGAGACTGGTTTTCTTCAAAGACCAACCTCGTTGCAAAAAATAACATCGACAAGAATTTACAATCTCAATATATAGAGGCTGTTTCCGAAAGAGTAACAGTGCCGCAATGCCGGTGTGTTTGTTCGAACATGGATCTAGTTTGTTAGGTAAAATGTGCAGTTGGTAGAGTTCTTGAGATAGATCAAAATGTCCATCTAGGACACCTCAATGTTAAAAAGCCTTTTTGAAATAAGTGTCACCCTTTAAACGCTTGATAGACCCTTTGGGTTTATTGTTTGTTTTTTTTTATCCTATTTAAGAACAATGTAAGAATGCCTTCACTCTTTACAACACCAACGGTATATTAAGCTTGGATCACCTTTTTATGGTTTTAAATTAAGTATGATTATTTATAAATTATAAATGACTCCTTTTTTTAGACCAAAGATCAAAGTTAAAATAATAGAACATTCTGGAGTATAGATTAACTTTCGGGAGCAAAAGCAGTAGAAGTTTCTTGAAAATATTTGTTATTTAGTGAATATTATGTTGGAATTTTGAAGAATTATTGTAAACTAAGTTTTATGGGGCGATATGCCGAACATGAAGGCAACGATCCAGTCAATCAACAAACGGAAGGTAAAACAAGAGGACGACGTCGGTGGTAGAACATGCAGTTGCCCCCGCAATGCCGAATGCCCGCTGAACGGGGAGTGCCTCAGCAAGAACATAGTGTACCAGGCCACCGTCACGAGCGAAGGCAGGAAGGAGGCATACGTCGGGCTGACGTCCACAACCTTCAAGGCGAGACTGGCGAACCACAAGCAGTCATTCAGATCCGAGAGCAAGAGGGCGCAAACAGAGCTAAGTAAACATATATGGGACTTAAAGGACGAAGGGAAAGACTATGAAATCAAATGGGACATTGTTCTGAAAGCACTGCCATACTCTAACGTAAACAAGAGATGCAATTTGTGTATAGCAGAGAAGTACATAATCATATGTAGGCCAGATCTAGGTACACTGAATAAGAGAAGCGAAATCGTCTCCAAGTGCAGGCATCGAGACAGATGTGTTCTTACTTCAGTGACGTAAACGCGTACTAACTTCAATGACGTAACGCGCGTAACGTGTGCGCGCGCTTGATTCAAAATAAGGTAAGATGCTACTTGTATTATATTTTTCGTCATTCTGCTGATGAGTGCCTTATGGTACGAAACAGTCTGTTCAGAAGAGAGATATGCCAAAGTTTGTTTAACGAGCACTGTGAATTGTGATAGAAGACGATTTCATTGGAGATAGATATATATATATATATATATATATATATATATATATATATATATATATATATATATATATATATATATATATATATATATATGTATATATATATATATATATATATATATATATATATATATATATATATATATATATATATATATATATATATATATATATATATATATATATATATATATATATATATATATATATATATATATATATATATATATATATATATATATATATACATACATATATATATATATATATATATATATATATAGGGTTAAAAGTTGGGCAGCCAAATGTTGTATTGATTCCTTTGAAGAAGTCATATATATATATATATATATATATATATATATATATATATATTTTATATATTTATATATATATATATATTTATTTCATAACAGACAGTGTTCGTAAATTGCCTAAATTGATTTGCTTAATCCCGTTGTCGCACATTTAAATGGAAATAGCCATTTAGAGAGTGCAGTTAGACTTATGTACTATATGCAAAGAAACTCCGTGAAAGCCGCCCGCAATCTTCCCACGCGATCGTGTATTTTTCTGTCTACCGTTTTCACTGAGTTGCACTGACCTGAACGGAATGTATGATAAACACGTAAAGACAACATACAGCTACAAAAGAAATGACTGCGAATTTATTTTATAAGAATGAACTTCATCTGCAAGCCTACGAAAGTAAACCGCATACATTTAAGTAAAGCAACAACAAACAACTTATTTTAATGGCATTGAATAAACAAAAGCTCGATTTAACCCCAAAGTGAATTTTGTGGCGTTTATTACTATGTATAGTGTATGATAATGTTATTTGTGTTTGACTAAGAGCTCGTGAATTCGCCCCAGTCCCGTGTTCATCTATAAGATTATGTCTAAAGGTATCTTTCCACTTCAACCCTGATTTGTAAATAATCATGCATTGTATTAATTAGGGCACTCTTACCGTTTCCTGTAGCACCAGCGACCATTATTACCTTGTGATGCCAATGCATCTCCGATCGCACTCCGTGAGTGTAACTACAGAACGTTTTGTTCCCAGAAATTGACTTCTCCTTCAAAGGAATCAATACAACATTTGGCTGCCCAACTTTTAACCCTAACTCCCTAGGGGGTGTGCAAAATTATATTAAAATTGACGGATTCAGGACTGTTAGGGATAGATAACTCCGAGCAAGCTGTTCATCATCATATCTTACCGAACTTTGCCCAACTTCAGACGGTACCCTTGGAGACCTCTGTGTAAGTTGTTCTGCATTATGGCAACTGTCTTCTTCTTCGGGGCCGACTCTGTTGCAGCAGCAGATGCAAAATCGTGCATTCTAAGATTGAACAAACAACGTCCAAACGCTTAAAAACAGTCAACAAAATAGGTACCATTTTAAAAAGGACAGATGTAGTCTCTTTCAGATGACAATAAATTAATTTATAAAATGCCCAAGTTAAAGGGTCCGTGAAATAAATACTTCTTAAGAACATATTCGGTGCAACTTTCTACTCCTCTTAAATGTGTGAAACGATTTGACTTCCTTTTGGTTAATTCTTTTAAAAAGTGCATTTCTTCAAACATTAAAAAAATATGTCCCTGTTTTCCGGATAACTGAGGGCGCAGCAGCTGCTGTGATGTCATTTCAGAAAGTCACTGTTCAGTTGAGGTGTTTTCTGTTCAAGTTCTAAACCCAAGAACATTGCTATTTTACAACATCTGCATGTGAGAAAGGTTTGCTCACTGGCTTGCAGCCTTGCACTGCCACAACAACACATGAAGGAAAATATCCCCAATTCTGGTAATTTTTTCTGCTAAAATAGCTGCAACATTAAGGTTTCTGCCGGAAGTGACATCACACTTGCTAATGAATAAGGAATTGTTCATGATTATACAAAGAAACAAAAAAAGCAGCATATTACCATTGAAAATTGCAAAATTAAATTAAAAATCAGCTTTAATGGGATACAAGGATTGAATTTAAAAAACCAAAAATTATTGCATGGGCAATATAAAGGGTGAAGCTTTTATAAATCTGAAACCATTGTACTGTGATTTAAAGGAACCATTGTATTGTTAATTCTTAAAGCTTAAAGTAAACAGTGTTTTACGTATAGCTCGACAAATAAAGGTTCTTAATAATAGGTACATGTAAACATGTATT